GGCTACTAGGTGACACAGAGAGTAGGTGAGCAAAAGAGGGCACTGAGCATGGAAGATTCAGGAAGGCAAATAGGAGATAGGAGAGGAGGGTTAGGAATGAAGAGAAGATGGATAGGGCCTATCTTTAGTTTCTGGGTAGAACTTAGGTAGATGGGGTCCTGGAAGTGAGTTGGGGGAGCAGGTCTAGGTCTAAAGACCATCCACCCACCAGCTCATTGATCAGTGAGGCTCTGGGCTGAGTCTGCCCACCACCACTCTGTCTCTCTTTCATGCTGATACTTGATCCAAGGAAAATCCCTCAGTGACCTGCAGGGTAATGCTAATGTTCCCCTCATTCCCAGATACCCTCCACTGGCCCACACCAGCTACACCTGTGTGGCCCCAGATGCTTCTCTCCCCCTCTCTGCCTCCTCCTCCTCCTATTCCACCCATAACACTTTTGGGACTGAATTTGTCTTTTCCACAGGAAAAAAAGGGCAAAGATTTCTTGGCCCATATCTTTGAGGACCAGGACAAGAATAACGACAAGAAGATCGACTTTTCTGAGTTTCTGTCGGTGTTGGGAGTCATAGCCACGGACTACCACAATCACAGCCACGGAGCCCCGCTCTGTTCTGGGGGAGGACACTGAGCCCAGCCCAGCCTGACACCTCCAAGAAACAATAAAGTGTGTCTTTTGCCCAGATACAGCCTGTTTCCTGCTTTCCTTTGGCTACTTATGCTGTCAGAACCGCCCCTTCTTGGTGAATGTAATTGTGGGTTCTCCATGGGGGGACTTACCCAGGGATGTGCCAGGAGGGTGCCCTCCCTTTGGCCCCCAGCATAACTGACCACCTCTCTCACCAGCGCCTCTGTCCACCTCTGCCCCTGCTCCCTAGTGCAGCCAGCGTGCCAGGTCCCAGGGTCAGCAGTGCAGAGCATTCTGTTGGCCCAGCCATGCTTTTCCTTCGCAAGTCAGTATCAGCATCTGGGGATTCAGGAACTTCAGGCAGCAGGAGCCAAGGGAGGTGTGAACAGGGTGCCTCATGCCCACGCACTCCTGCCCAGCATGACGCCAGGGAAATAGGGGAGATGGCACCACTGAAAAAGACATTGAGTGGCTGGCATATGGGTCACATAGGCACTGTGATTGGGACACTCATCAGTACCCAGAGGACTGGATCCCTTGTCCTGTGTCCTGGGCTTCTGGGCTGTGTTCTGTCCCTGTGCGTGTGTGTGTGTGTGCGTGTGTGTGTGTGTGTGTGCGTGTGTGTGTTTTAGCCTGTGTGTGGTCCTTGTGGAGATTAGAGCCAGCCTGCCTGCTGAGCTGATCCTAACAATGGTTTGCTAAATGCTGGGAGCTGGATGTCTGGGGAAAGCACAGAGTGATGGCTGTTCCAGGCATGAGGAGTAAAGCTAGTGCTGGAGTCCAGAGAGTGTCTGGGAAGCAAGTGAGAAGACAGGACTGAAGAGGAGCGGGGAGGAGAGGGCAGGGAATGATGAGCAGAAAGCTCAGGCTGAGCCATCAGTGACAGTCCACTCCACTAGACGTGGAATGAGGCGTGCCATTACCCACACAGGGCCTTTCCCATCTGCCTCTGTCCTTCTGGGATCTACAGAACCAGCTCACACCTGGAGCACTGGGCCCAGCTGCTCCTTTCAGAGCTGGAGCACCATGAGCCCACAGAGGTAGAGGCAGAGGATGAGGACGCCTGGGGGTGGAAGGTTTGGGTGCCTGTGGATCTAAGCAACACAGAGAAGAGCTTCCAGAAGCTAGGGTTAGGCAGGAGCAAAGAGTTGCTCTGATCACTGTCCCCATGGCCTGCAGTCTGGGAAGACTTCCTGGGGTGGCTCTTGCGCTGAGACTCTCTGATGGACAGGAGAGATGTTCTGTCTTTAGAAGGCACATCGAGGCAGTCATGGTGATAACATGTTCTCTTCTGGGATCTACAGAACCAGCTCCAGAGCAAGTTCAAAAAAGACACCAAGAGGCATGGTTAACTCCAGTGGCCTCTCCAGATTCAGAGCGGGCTCCGGGCACAGCTTTCACTGACCTTCACGAAGCAGAAGAACCACCTGCAGCATGTGGGCAACTCCCTTCAGCTCCTGTGAGGCCTGTGGTCCCCCGTCCTGGGCTGCATCCCATGTAGCTGCCATGGCAGAGGGTGCTCCCCTTAGAGATGCAGTTTTTAAATATTTGTGTTTATTTTACATATTCTTAAAATTTTACTAGTAGTTTTTGTCCTATGCAGTTAAAATACAATGTATTTCACATGATATATAATAAAATGTTAATAAAATTTAATTTAAATAAAATGTAATTTGTCTATGATCCTTCAAAATGTACATGCCAGTCCTAACCGGTTTGGCTCAATGGATAGAGCGTCGACCTGTGGACTGAAGGTTTGTGAGAGTCCACGGCCAGCATGGCTTTCGCGGGTTCAAAGACTTGGAGGGAGGGCTGACAAGCAAATGATACACACAAGATGGAATATTAATTTTTATAATTACCGGGGGAACCAGAGGACAGCCTAACCATGAAGGTCAAGCCCTCTCCATTGCTCCATTCCAGGCTGTTTTTATTAGCTAGAATACACAATTGCCTTTAGGAATGCAAACAGACATATCAATGGTAATGTTTAGCAAACAGTAAGATTGTCAGGTCTTGGGGGGAGTTTGCTTTAGGCCATTGAGTCAGCAGCAGGTATTAAATGTAGATATTCACCCTGTGAATATCAAAAGGAGTCCTGGCCAGCCTTCTGCCAGACTCCTCACATTTATATCAATTACTGTTGATCTTGGTCTGCAGCAAAGGTTCCCAGGTTTGATTCTGGTCAGGGGCATGTGCCTTGGTTGCGGGCACATCCCCAGTGGGGGGTGTGCAGGGGGCAGCTGATTGATGTTTCTCTCTCATCGATGTTTCTGACTGTCTATCCCTCTCCCTTCCTCTCTGTAAAAAATCAATAAAATATATTTTTAAAATGTACATGCCAGCAACATTAAGTACATTCACAATTTTCCACAACCACCACATCACATCACAACCTCTGTCTAGTTCCAGAGCCTCTTCGTATGGCTGTGGGAGGTACTGGCAGTGAAACAGTGTGGCTCAGTCAGAGGAAGTGGTGGAAATTCATTTCTATCCTTCCCCCTAGCACAGTGGTTCTCAACCTTCTGGCCCTTTAAATACAGTTCCTCATGTCGTGACCCAACCATAAAATTATTTTCGTTGCTACTTCATAACTGTAATGTTGCTACTGTTATGAATCATAATGTAAATATCTGATATGCAGGATGGTCTTAGGCGATCCCTGCGAAAGGGTCGTTCGACCGCCAAAGGGGTTGCGACCCACAGGTTGAGAATTGCTGCGCCTAGCACGTAGCACACATGGCAAAATTTGGAAGAAATGTCAGTGTTAAGCAAGAATTAACCTTGAATCGTATGAACCTAACATAATTTAAATGGCTACTGGTAATGGATTAAAGAACAAATGTTGATATATGCAAGTAAATGATCACTATGCACTCGTTAAAATTAGGCTACATTCATTTAGTGTGTGAGCAGATGTCCACAGCACAGTATTAATGAAAAGACTAGTTGCAACACAGCTGTTGAAGATCATCATCACTGTGTATTGGGACAGTATGTGGGGTTTTTTGTTGTTGGTTTTTTTTGTCCCAGATTGAAAAAAAGGCAGGTGAAGGCGGTACAATATGAAACCTCTACCCCCAACAAGCTCTGTGTCAAAAATTGATTTTTTTTAAAGTGACAAGCTGTTATCTAGCAATTGTCCAAGGTCGTATTGGCATACCAAATTCCTTAATTAGGTGGCTTCTAGGTTTTTATTTTTGCTATTTGGCTATAGATATTGCTGTGGTCAACACCTACTTATTGCTTTTTCTTACCAGACTTATTGTTTTTTAATTACTTTCTTGGGATAAATCCCCAGGGGAATGATGGCTGATCTAAGGTAGTCCATAAATTCTCTGGGACTCTAGCTTGGCATTGCCAACTTGTTTTACCTCTTAGACACGTGAGCCATTTCTATTTTATTTTAGTGTATGGATGAACCAATTATTTGGCGAGGAAATCATTATGTTGGGTAGATGAAGGCTCACCCTGTAAACTGGAAGAAGTTTGGCTTCAGTATTTACCTGTTTCTCTCAAACCTTCAGGGATGTGGAGGCTTAATCTCTGGTTCAATAACCTGCTCTTTGGCGCCCCCTTCTGGGAGATTCACTCCCCCGCTGTGTGCCCCTCCCAGAGGAGAAGCAAGGCAGGGGTAGAAGGGCTGGCTAGCTGACAGAAAGCTGGAGATGGGGGAAGGAGTTCACCTGCCACTCAAAGGCCCAGGGGGTAGCTGTCTGGAGGCCAAGCCTACACACCTGGCTTCTTTTAGAGGAGGGCCATTTCCACACAGCAGTCGATTATTGCCTTATAATAAAGCTGTTCCTACCACTTGTCTCTGATCTCCCACCCATCACCTACCATCTGAAATCCTGTGCACAGGAGAAAGTTGCAGCTCTAGCTTGGCACACAGGGCCCTTCGCATCGGCCTCCATCCTCCTCTCCAGCCCCGTGTCTCGTACCTGCTCCTCATGAACCCTGTGGACACCTTCCCCTCGCAGGCCACCCACTTTCATACCCCCAGCCTATGACCATGCGGTTCCTCCGTCTGGAGTGCTGGTCCTCCGTGCTTCTCCTCGCAACAACATCTTCAATCCCACCTAAATGTTGCCTCAACTGAAGTCTTCCTCAACTCTCCAGGCAGATGGTGTCCCTTCCTGGGTGCCCAGGGTGCCCCGTTTGTGCCACTAAATCAGCAGTGTTCACAGTGTGACTGTCCCCTCCACTCGTTCCCGCCCTGTGAGCTGGCCGCGTGTCCTACTCATATTGCCTGGAGAGCCCGCACGCTGCGGAGCCTTGAGAAATATTTGTCGGATGAGTGACTGTCCTTCATGACTGTGGAGTGGGGGTTCCCTGATTGAGGTAGGACATGCCAGGAGACGTATTGGAGCTGTGTGTGTAGCCCCACCCAAGCCCTGGAGCTGGGAGGATGAGCTGGAGGCAGGGAGATGGATAACCTTGTGACCTCGTGTGGGTCTGAGATGCGTCAGATCAGGCTCTGAGGGAAGGTGGGTCCCTGAAGCTGGCTGAGTGCATCTTAGGGAGCAAGTGCCTGTGATGTCATCCCAGGAATGCAGTGAAGGCTCGGCTGTGCTGCGAGGAACCTGTGAGGAGTCACAACACTGGCTGCCGTGATCGGAGGCACGGAGGATGGGCAGGGAGGGGCCTGAGACCAGGGGGGCAGGGAGGGAAGGGCAGAGGATGCTTGGGCCGGCCCAGAGGAGGTGCTGCTCTCTCCCGGGTTCTCCGCTGTCCGCAGCTGCTCCACCTCCACATCTCTGGAGCTGGCCCTTGTCCCGCTGCCATCAGAGGGCCCCGCTGCCATGACGGACACGCCAGTCGAGGAATCCCTCTTCCAAATCATCCGCAGCTACCACCAGTACGCGGCCCGGGAGGGGGACGTGGAGACCCTGTCCCTGGAGGAGCTGAAGGCCCTGCTCATGGACACCGTGCCCCGCTTCATGGAGAGCCTGGTGCGGGGCCTGGGGGCAGGTGGGGGGAGTGGAGGGTGGGCTGTGGGGTTTGAAGTGAGGGTTTGGTGCGGGGAGCATCTCCCAGGAGCATTTGAACTTAGGGGAGGGGAGGCTGAGGCAGGATCGGCGGGCAGAGGGAGGACGGCCTGGCGGCTTTTCCTCCCGAGACTCCCTGCCCGGCCCCGCTCCAGCCCAAGCATCGCTAATCCCTGAGACGCCATCCGAACCCCAAAGCCGGTTGTTGCTCTGCTTGTTTTGCTTCCCCTGAGAACAGGTCCTAACCCTTCCCTCGGCCCCTCGGCCCTGCCCAGCCTGCCCCTCGAGCCCAGCCCCTTCTCCTGGGGTCTAGCACAGCTTCCTCTGCCCCACCCCCACGCTAGGGAGGATTGCTGGGTTAAAGGGGAGCCAGGAGGGATGAGGTGTGGGCAGATAGGAAATGGAGCTCCCCCTCCCTCTCTTGTCCCAGGCCAAGTCTCAGACCAGCCTAGGGGCCCAGCCCCGAGTCTAGGCTGCTGAGCCACCCTGCTCAGGCCTGGAATCTCCCCTGCCATCAGGATGAGCCATGTGATTATCCGGCTCCTGGGGATGCAAGGCCAACCCGAGTGTCTGCCCTCGGTGCCATGCCCCCGGGTGAGTCAAGGCTGCTCATCCAGGACAAGCACCCCTCGTCCCTGCGGGTCTGCCTTGCCTCCCTTTGGGGAACATCAGAGAAGAGTCTGGTCCTGGGCTTATCGGAGCACAGCCACGAGGTCACAGAGGGGGGACGGGGGGACTGTGGTTAGGCCCCCTGTTTCTAGGGAAGCCGTTCCACCTGGGTACGGGGCCCACGGGGCAGGCACCTGGGCACAGGGCGGAGATGGCGGCCTGGGCAGGTGGGCTAAGTGAGGGCAGCCTGGGAGAGCTGCCCCAGGCAGGAGGTCTGTGCACTGTGGGGTCAGCCAGCTCTGTGGAGGGGACAGATTAAAGGAAGTAGCTGGTGGAGGGTGTTGGGGGGGACAGAGGGTGCCAGTCCGCCCCAGGGTGGGAGCTGCCCTCCAGACCCCCAGCTGTTTCCTGATGCAGTGACTTCCCTCCTCGGAGGCTTTCTGAGGGCTGCACCCTGGGTCCCCGCCTCCAGCCCAAACTGGCTGAAACCTGCTTCACTGCCCCTGCCCTGCCAGGGGCTCTTCTCATCGTCGCCTGTCCTGTCTCCTCCATGCACGCTGACCATTGACCTCCTCCCTGCTGTCCCTTCCACCCCGAAAGCTCCTTTGCTCTCCTACGCCACCCCCAGTCCGTAGCCCTCAGGGCCACTGCTCTGGGACAACGGACAGTCCCAGGGCCCATGGCGGTGGCCTTCCCCCATTCTGCACTTCCCCGAGGACACAGGCCAGTTGCCATGAACAATCCTGGGCGGATGGCACGCCCTGCGGGAATCCGACCCACTGGGTGCCGACCTGCAATGGTGCTGGAGGTGCAGGCCTGAGGGACAGGTGGGCGGTGACTGGCAGCTCCCCGTGTGCAGCCCCAGGCTGGGCGGCCCCTGCAGGGTGTATGTGCAGCTGGGAAGACAGGCTTAAAAGCCCCCAGCAGAGGGCAGCCCTGCTCAGCCACTAGCCGGCCAGCCAGGAAGCTGTGCCCAGCCTGCACCACCTGTCTGTCCATGCGGCCCAGGTCCAGGTGCCCGGCTCCCTGTGCCCCTTCTGCCTGATTCTGCCCTGCAGTGTCCTGGCCACCGAGTGAGCGAGGAGCTGTTTCCCACCAGTCCCCGGCAGACAGGGCCAAGTTCCTCGCTAGCAGGCGGTGGAGCCGGACCATCTGCAGGGCCGAGTGCCTGGGGGCTGGCTGACCCTCCGCCCCTCCTCAGGGCCGGGAGAAGCCGTACTTCGTCACCGAGCTGTTCCGGGCAGCGGACAAGGACAAGGACAACCAGATCTGCTTTGACGAGTTCCTGTACGTCCTGGGCCAGCTGCTGAGGGACTACCACCTGCAGTACCACCGGCAGCTGTGCGCCCACTACTGCGCCCGGCACAGCCTCTACTAGACGGAGCGGGCAGCCACCAGGCCTGCCCCAGGAGCCACGTGACCCAGCCCGGCGGCCGAGTGGAGCTCTGCCACGCGTGTCTGCATGTGCCCGATGTGTGTGCGCAGGCATGTGCATGGGTGTGGAAGGACACCAGGGAGGGAAGAGAATAAAGCAATGTCACAGCAGTTTCTGGTGTCTCTCTCTTCATGGTTAGGGCGTCAGCGATGGGTCCAGGAGGGGAGGTTTGGATCCTCCAAATAGGAGGTCATCTATTTTGGATGACAGACAGAACCCATGCCCCCAAGAGCCCCTGTCTGAGGGGGGAAGCAGCCCCTTCCTCCAGGAGCCCCTGTCTGAGGGGGGAGGCAGCCCCTGCTCTCAGCCTCTGTCTGAGAGAGAGGGGTCTTCTCTTTGGGGAGCTGACCCTCTGACACGAGATGCTGATCACTCCTTCAGGCACCTACATGGCGGGACAGGACATGAGGGCAGAGGCACCCTCGACATGGACCCTGGCTTGAAGGTCTCTGTCTCTGGATGAGAGCCCCAAGGATCAGTGTGCAAAGGGAGCGCGTGGGAAGGGGCCAGGACGGGTGGGAAGATGATGCTGGCAATAGCCTGGGGTGGCAGGGTCAGGGCCAGTCTGGGAGATAGACAGTGAGGTGTGTTTTGTGCCGCTGAGTCAGATGGGGACCAGGGCAGAGCCAACAATCCAGCCTGTTAGGGGAAGAGTGATGAGTGGCACTTGGGTGACTGTCAATCAGGGAAGTCTTCCTGGAGGAAAGAGGGCTGGGGCTGGTTTTACTAATAAAAAATGATGATAGACGTGGTGTCACTCCAGCTCAGGGCTGCTTGTGACTCACGGATCCAAATCCTCCCTGGCCCCTGACCCCTCCCAGCTGAACCCCGCCCCGCCCTGTCTGTGTTGTCTGTGTTTCTCTCTCTGAGAGCGCAGGAATCTGATGCAGGATCTCTCTGGGAGGGTCTCCTCTGCCTCGGGCCCTGCGAGGCTCATCTTGGTGGGTTTCTTCTCTGAGGATTGTCTGGGAACCCACGCCCTAAAGTTACTGTGGTAGAAACAATGAGTTTTAAGGGAACGATGGGCCATCATCCTTATTGCTCATCCAGAGATTAAGGAAAACAGTCTCCAGATGCAGAGAGGGAGACTCAAGACAACAGGAGTCCTGAGCTCCTCCCAGGATCGCGTGCTCCTCAGGGGAGCATGCTGAGCAGCAAGGCCACAAACTGCCTCCCCCAGAGACGCCCCTCCAGACAGATGGCCTGGGGGGGGGGGGGGGGGTTGGGGTGAGCCAGAGCCAGGCTGAGTTGCCCAGGTAGCAGAGGATGTTGGGAATTGGGCAAGCATATTGGGGGAAAGGCAGAGCCCGCAATCAGACTGTGGGTTGTGGGGGGTATGTGTCATTTAAGGGCCTTGGCTGGCTCTCTCCCAGCTGGGTCTCTGTATCACAGAGGAGAAGGAGTGCCCTGCAGGTTGAGCGGGGACCTTTGTGTCTGGTCAGCCAAGCTCTGAAGGGGGGTTTTGCCCTGCTGCTCCCTGGTGGGGCCCTGTCGCCATCCCTTCCACACTTGCCCGTCTGCCAACACTTGTCTGCCAACACTTGCCTTTTGGGACTCAGCTGGGCCCCCACCCATTTCCCTCTGGACCTTCCTGCCCCGCCGCCCCCCCCCCCCACCCCGGGGCCTGAACTCCCTGTGGAGGTGTGTGTCCTGCTGCACCGAGGTGGGGCTGCTGTCTGTCCTCCACCAAGCCAGGGGCCACCCTTCCCACCGGCCAGCGTCAGCACACAGTGGGTGGTCCGCTGTGTCGGCGGGAGGAATACAGGAACCTGTTTGGAATCCCCGTGGGCCTCGTCCTCACGTCCAGGGACCCAGGCCGTCCTTCCCCGGGCCCAGGGGGGGATGCTTCCTGCCCGTTTCATCTGAACCGAGTTGGGTTTCACAGGCCATTGAGTACTAAGGGGCATCTCAGCCCCCTCCTCCTCGCCTTCCTCCGGCCCCTTCCTGGGGGATTTCTTCACGGCCCTGCCTGCCGGGCCTGATTTCGTCAGCCTGGGCCCGGCCGGCACAGGTCTGTTGGGACACACACACAGGACGGAGCTCTTTCCTGTAAACGGGGCCAGGTTCTGCTCCCCCAGGTTGCCCCACAACCCACAGTCTGATTGCGGGCTCTGCCTTTCCCCCAATATGCTTGCCCAATTCCCAACATCCTCTGCTACCTGGGCAACTCAGCCTGGCTCTGGCTCACCCCAACCCCCCCCCCCCCCCAGGCCATCTGTCTGGAGGGGCGTCTCTGGGGGAAGCAGTTTGTGGCCTCGCTGCTCAGCATGCTCCCCTGAGGAGCACGCGATCCTGGGAGGAGCTCAGGACTCCTGTTGTCTTGAGTCTCCCTCTCTGCATCTGGAGACTGTTTTCCTTAATCTCTGGATGAAGAAAGCTGTCCCCACAGGGACCATTCTTGCGGGGGTGGAGGGCTTTAAAAAAGGCATCTCCCGCCTGGCCATGGTGGCTCAGTGGTTAAGCATTGACTATGAACCAGGAGGTCACCATTCAATGCCAGTCAAGGGCACATGCCCCAGTTGCAGGCTCTAGGCTCTATCCCCACTAGGGGGCATGCAGGAGGCAGCCGATCAATAATTCTCACTCATCATTGATGTTTCTATGTCTCTCTCCTTCTCCCTTCCTCTCTGAAATCAATAAAAATATATTTTTAAATGGCACCTCCCGAAGGTCAGGGTCTGGGAAGGCATCATTTGCATCAGCCCCCTCATCACCCCACTGAGAGAGGTCAGCGTGAGCTCCATCCCGGGGAAGGTGAGCAATCCTAAGGAGAGTCTTGGAAAAGCCAGCTTGCTTGTTCTAACGCCTGCTTTTTGGCACCTAAGCCCCCAGACAGAGCAGAACACATGCCCATAAGAAGGAGCTTGAGTAACTCCCCGTGCCTCCGTTTCCTCATCTGTCACAGAGGGGTCATTGTACGTGTAACACCCACTTTACAGGGCTATCGAGTGAGATAGTGGACATAAGAACACTTTGACAACATGAGGTGCTGTTTGGGGTCAGGTGCTGTTATACCAGGTCATAGAGGAGAGGGCCTGAGGAATAGCGAAGCACTAAGTGCTCCAGCCTTAGCTGAAAGCATGTCGCGTGTCAGAGACAGTCCTATTTTCCTGTGAAGGGGCTGACTGACCTCCTGCCAAGGAAGTGAGACTGCATCTGGTTGGTGGATTTATATCCTGCCTTGCTCCAGAAGTGAGTTAAGGTGGCTGGGAGGGGATAAAGGGAACTTCTGCTTTGGGTAGGGGATAGACCAAGCATTCCATTTCGCATTCATTTTTACCCCAAGTAAGTATTAAATGAGCACCTAGTATGGACCAGGTCCTGGGGTTGTGATGTGGTTTCTGCTCGGAAGGGGCCCAGGTCTCAAAGAAAAGACAGACGATAAACAGATGGGTCATAGTGTGGCAGGGCAGAGGCTGTGATGCATGGGGATTCGGGTAACACGGAGGAGAGAAGAATTAACTCGGTGTCCATAGGGGTGGAAGGAGGCTCGGGGAGGCACAGGGGTGGCCACCAGATGGTGCCTGGGCTGGATCAGGAAGGATGAGGAGGACTTGGCGGGCAAAGAGGCATTCCAGGGAGTGTCAGGAAGTAGATGATGCCACAACATGTCATAAGTCACCTAAGGCATTTGATGCACTGAATGTGTGTCCCCCTATGGGCCTCAGTTTCCTCATCTGTAAAATGGGAATTATGGCAGTACATACCTTATCAATCTGTTGTGAGAATTAAGTGGATCAATGTAAGTAAAGCACTTACAATAGCAAGTGGCACCTGGTAAAAAGCCTAATCAATATTAGCTACGGTTTTGCTCTTATTTGTTCTTATTATTGAGTACTGTTGCTATTATGGTGTGTGCCAGGCCCTATGCTGGGTGCTGGGGAAGCAGAGGTGGATGGTCCTGTCTGGGTCCTCACGGGTTCACAGTCCGGCTGGGGTTTCAGGCACATTCACGGGGCAGCAAAGGTGCTCTACCCTCACCCGATGCTTGCTTGCTATGCGCTGCTCTAAGCACTTTACACAGTTTTTTGTAAATTTGTTATTGAAATGTTGTACATATTAAGAAAAGTCTACAAACCATAAATATTTTGCATCTATTATTAATATTTACAACAACACTATATGGTAGATTCTATTTCTTTTTAGGTGGAAACATTACAATTTTTTTATTTTTAATTGTGGCAAAATACACAGAACATACAATTGATCATCTTGACCATTTGGACATCTCGTGAGTGTACAAATATCTTTTTGAAGCCCTGCTTTCAATTATTTTGGATATATACCAGAAGTGGAGTTGCTGGATCATATGATAATTCTGTTTTTAATTTTAAAAAAATGTTTTTATTGGAAAGAGAGAGAGAGAGAGAGAGAGAGAGAGGAACATAGATCGGTTGCCTCTCATATGCACCCTGACCGGGGTGGAACCTGCAACCAAGGCATGTGTCTTGACTGGGAATCGAACCAGTGACCTTTTGTTGCATGGGACAACGGTCAGGGCATGTTTTTAATTTTTGACGAACCATTATACTGTTTTCCACAGTGGCAGCCTCATTTCATATTCCCACCAGCACTGCACGAGGGTTCCAGTTTCTTCACATCCTCCCCAATGCTTTTATTTTCTGTTTATGTTGATAGTTATTTTCTAGTTATGTTGGGTATGAGGTGCTGTCTTACTTTGATTTGCATTTCCCTGATGACTAGTGATGTGAAGCATCTTTTCATGTGCTTATTGACCATTTGTGTATCTTCTTTGGAGAAATGTCTAAGTCCTTCGCCCGTTTTTCAATCAGATTGTTTTGTTGCTGTTGTTAGGTGATAAGAGTTCTTTAGATATTCTGGATATTAACTCCTGTCAGATATATGATCTGTAAATATTTTCTCCTATTATGGTCTACTTGAAGTATTTTAAACCTCTACTGAATAAGTGCGGTAACTAAGGCACAAAGAGGGTAAGTATTTGGCCTAGGTTACACAGCAATAAAGTTACTGACATACTGAAGCCCAAGGTTAATTCCATCTACTTCCCCCAGGAGGCGCTGGTGGCCCAGGCCCTTGTTGAATGTATGAAGGAAGGGGAGAGGAGCGGGGTTTTCCCTGCAGAGTCAAGTTCTTGTCAGATTAGACTCTGGAGCCCCAAGCTCCAGGATCTGGTCTTCACCTCTCTGCCCTCAGCTTCCGCGTCTGTACTGGGTGGGTTCCATGCCCCACATTCCTGACAAGCATGTTCTGAGGCTCTAAGTAGATTATGTGATTGTGCAGTGCTTTGTAGCCAGAGGAATGGCGTGACGAATCTTCAGCGTTGGAAGCCAGTTCATCTCAGTGGCATTTTGTTGGGTTAGGCAGCAGCTTGCTCCTCCTGAAATCCTGGGGAGTGGGCCACCTCCTCTTCTCCTCTTGGACAGGAAGCACTTCTGGCTTCTCCAAAGTACCCCTCCCCACCCCACCTTCAGAGTGGGTTCCTCTCCAGCCCAGGCTCCTGGGGTCAGAGGCACACAGTCATCCCCCAGGGCGTTGAAGGGCCCCTGGGGTGCTTAGGCAGAGGCTCAGAGCCTTATGCACACAGAGGGACCCCAAGCCCGGCTTTGTCTCCCCGGACAGTGCACCCCAGCTTCACAGGGCAAGAGAGAAACTGACTGGCCCTTAGCAACATGTCCCTGCGAAGTCCACCCACCCACCAAACAACAGACCATCGTGGAATCACCGCACCTTCCATTACTAATGTCCAGCCGCAGGACAAGGGGTCTCAACCTTTTCAGGGTCTGGGACTCTCTTGAGAATCTGAGGAAAGCCAGGGAGGAATGTGCTGATGCCCGTATGCAAAATGATGCATCCACTTCCGTTCCATTCACTGATGGACAGACAGGACACATGTAGGAGATTAGCAACTGGAACAGTGGGGGACTCGGGAGGGGGTGCCTGGTCACCCTGGTCTCTTCCTGGTTTCCCCTGTTGGGCACTACTGCCCAGAAAAAAGCCTTCCCCTTCCTCTTCCCCCCCCCCCCCCCCCGCCCTCAGAAATGTTCAGGCTGCTGGGATTGCCCCATTCACCTGGTTAGGAAACCTGAGGCTGTAGCAACCCTGGAAGGGAGTAGCTGCCTCGCCCTCACGGGACAGCTAGCTAGCCAAGCCCAGCCGCTATAAAAGGGAGTGCCACTCAGCCTGAGTATCTGTCACTTCTGTCAACTCTCAGCGCTGTTTCAGGAAGACCTGGTAAGTGGACTGCCCTGGTTGGCCCCACACTTCAGGCTTCTCCAGGGGAGGCTGGGGGAGCAGGCAGCCTTCACTGAGAGAGGGGAGGGAAAGCTCAGGGAGGGGTGAACCAAGCTCCGGACTTCCTCTGGAGAAGAGTGAGACAGGGACAAAGAAAGAGCCAGTCCTCTGACACTTGTAGGTGAGGGCATATTCATTTCCTAAACTGGGCTTTTCTTGGGCAGAGGGTGAGGGCATGGAGTTGGCAGGCACTGTGTGTGTGTGTGTGTGTGTGTGTGTATACCTACCCCCTACCACACTCTGATCCGTTTCATCCCTCCCCTTCTCATCACAGCTATAGCATCCTCTGGGTTTGGTTACTTGGATGGTGCAGGCCAGGACAAAGCCATTACTTGGGTTATGAACCTTCTGAGTGTCCCCTTAGTCTTCACTCCACTGTGGGCAGAGGCACCATCCCCACCCATGTGCTCCCCTTCCAGGTGAAGCAAATCCTTGGGCACCATGCTGACGGAAATGGAGAACACCCTGAACAACTTCATTGAGATCTACCACAAGTACTCCCACCTGCAAGGGAACGACCATGCCCTCTACGGCACTGACCTGAAGAAGTTGTTGGAGGACGAGTGCCCTCATTTCTTGCAGGTGAGGTGTGGCTGGGTGTCCCCTGGCTCTTTGCCTGGCTCTGATGATGCCCAGGGCCACTGGCCCCCCTGCTGCCCCAGGTAAATGGCCACTCTTCAGCTCCCACTCTGATCTTTACACTCTGCTTCTTTCTCCTCAATTTTGACAGAAAAAGAATGCAGAGACCTGGTTCAAAGAGCTGGATATCAATCGAGATAGTGCAATCAACTTCCAGGAGTACCTGACGCTGGTGATAAAGGTGGGCCTGGAAGCCCATGACGAAATCCACAAGGAGTAGCAGGGCTGCTGGGCCTGGGGCTGGGCCTCTGGACTGATCCCTGAAGATTAATAAAGTGATTGATACCTCAGGCCTCTGGTCCTCTCTTGCTTTCCTCTGTGGAAGGAGGCTCCTAGGGCGTGGGGGGAGGGTTGGAAAACCCACAGGGACAAAACCAAGCTTCTGCTGCCCCCCACTCCTTATGTCTCATGAACTTTCCGTTCTTACCATGTGTTTGGTTTCCTCTCTGCCTTCCCCCTAAATGATTTCTGAGTCTCTTCTAGCCCTGGCCCTGAGTCACTGGACTTAGGGCTCTAAAAAGCCCATGACACTGTAGCTAATGGTCTTCCAAATGGTGATATGGAAACAGGGTGATGTAAGGAAAACTACTGTTCTCTCAACTAAATATTAATTTCCAGCTAAATGTCTTAGATCAGACTCTTGGGAAATTAGGGCAATAACTGCATAGAAGTGTGTGTGTGTGTGTGTGTGTGTGTGTGTGTGAGAGAGAGAGAGAGAGAGAGAGAGAGAGAGAGAGAGAGAGAGAGAGAGAGAGAAAGGGATTCTGTGTTTGGTGTGACAGGAGGTGGGTATTTAGAATTCTACGATAAGTAACACTAATAGCCCCTGGCCCAGATTTTGGAAGCTTTCCTTTTTTCTTGCCTTCCAATCTCCCAAGTCAATGAAAAAATAAAGGAATGGGCAGACAGGCCAGTACGTTCATAAAACTCAACTCAAAGAACAGGCAACTCAAACGCTGCCCTGTGGGGTGATGGCTCTGGTGATCAATGAAACATCTCAGGGCCCGGTGAATGGGAATTTCAGAACCCAGCCCTGAGCTGGGTTTCTTGCTCCACCTTGGGAAATGTTCTGTTGCCCCCACTGGGGTGATGAGCAGTGGTATTGGTGATGGAGGCGTATTATACATCTCTAAGTGGAACTGAAGTGGATGCATCATTTTGCGTACGGGTATCAGCACATTCCTCCCTGGCTTTCCTCAGATTCTCAAGAGGGCCCCAGACCCCGAAAAGGTTAAGACCCCTTGTCCTCCAGCTGGACGTTAGTAATGAAAAGTGCGGTGATTCCATGATGGTCTGTTGTTTGGTGGATGGGTGGGCCAGTCAGTTTCTCTCCTGCTGCCCACACCCCTCTCCCCTCCCCTCCTGCCCAGTGAAGCTGGGGTGCACTGTCCGGGGGAGACAAAGCCGGGCTTGGGGTCCCTCTGTGTGCATAAGGCTCTGAGCCTCTGCCTAAGCACCCCCAGGGGCCCTTCAACGCCCTGGGGGAATGACTGTGTGCCTCTGACCCCAGGAGCCTGGGCTGGAGAGGAACCCCTTCTGGAGAGGTGGGAGAGAGAGACTTATCATTATCAAATTTTGTTTGCCAAGGGGTCTGTTGATTTTAACCCCACTCGGAAACCATGGGGAAGGTGACAGAGTGCCCCCTTGGGATTTCACTGTCCGTGATGGGCGCTGGTTGTGAAGAATCGCATTGACCTCGAGTTCTCAATAGTTGATACTCGAGCTCATGGTGTGCAGGGGAGGTGACCCCACTGGCACTGGCCGCCTAGAGAAAGAGGTGGAGGTGAGGGGGGCACCACTGGAAGGTTCAGGGAGGTGGTAAGCGTGGAGACTGTGGTTTACAAACAGGACTGTTGTCATTACAGGAACCACTGGGCGGAGTCAGACAGGCTTGTCGCCTAGAGCAAGGTGATTTGGTTTCCTGTTTCCCCAGCTACCAAAGAAGAACAGGGCAGTGGGAAGTTGGGAAATAAGTTGTTTAGCAGGAAGCCCCATGCAACATTTGGGCCCACAAAGGAGACCTTGGCTCACCCATTGAGGCAGATCCGGCCACTGAGATTTCCGGGGCCTGTGAGGATGACCTGTCAGAAATCCTGCTTCTTCAGCAAGGTTCTCCACCCCAGGCTCCTGACTCCAGGTTCCTCACGGTTGTGACAAAAATCCTAAAGGCAGGGGAAGGATCTGGAATTGGGCAATTGGTGTCTAGCAGCTGAACAAATGAGCTCATTCCCATGGAAAGGAAGTCCCATACATTCCTCCACCTGGGAGCCAGACCATCCTGTTGGGGTCCAGATCCCAGTCTATCTCCTAGCCTCCTGACCTGGGAATTCAGCCTAAAATCAAATGGGCTGAAGAAGGGAGGGCAAACTACCAACACGTGCTGGGCTTCTGCTGGGTGTCAGTGTGAATGAGAAATAACACCTCAGGCCTGGAAAAAGACAAAATGCTGATTGCTTATATCTTTCATCTCTGCGAAACAAGTGCGGCTACTTGTTAATCTCCCCCATCTGACACTTTTGGGAAATGTCAAAGGTCAACACAGTATGCTAGTATTTGACTAACAAGTCCCAGTGGATAAAGCCAGTTTACTTGCGTGATGGAGTAATATGATTGTATAGCCTGGTAGAGATGGTAAACCCCTCACTGTTAGGGTTTTCATCACTCTTTTTAAAGTTAAAAGAGTCTCACATCTCACTTAAGAGTCTTACTTAGACACACCTTTCCTGGCTGTCTTTATATATTCTCAAATAGTCTTCAAACCAGCTTTAAAAAACAACAAACATCTTTATCGATCTTTCATGAATGAATTAAAATAAGAATTTTGACATGGGCCCACTATGTGTGTTGATAATTTTACTTCTCAGCACTAGACTTTTTGACAGTTTATCTCATTTATTTTTTTTGTAACAAACCTGAAAGAGGTCATCGCTATTTCCGTTTGTATATGAAGAGATTTGGAGAGGTTAAGATAAAATGGACGAATCTGGCAAGTGGGAGAGGGAGGGTTAGATCCCAAGGGTCTCTATTGAGAAACCTGTTAGTTAAGATATGCCATGAAAGCCCTCTCTTTTGAGTAGCTTCCTGCCTGGGGGTGCGTGGAGGGCCTCCCTCTGCCGGCCTCTCGGTCCTCACCTCCTGCATGGTCTCTGCCATCCAGGGGCATAAAACAAAGGTCTCAGGTGCCAGAATGAGCTTCTCTCTGGGGCCGACTCACCAGGCACAGCTCAGGACTTGAGCTACTTGGGGTTTTTTGGTTTTGTTTTTTTCCTGGTGTGAGCAATCCTCTAGACAATACAACAAGAGGATCAGCATTTTGAGTTCCTTAACCTCTTAGGTGTTGTTCCAGTAGTAACTTCCTCTTCCTTCTGGGCTGGGGGCCCTCCCTGGCAGTCCTAGGAGCTGTAGACGTTTCTGTGTAAACAACTCTGTGATTTGCAAAATCACGGCCTGAACTGGCTGCGAAGGCCAGGGTATGGGCCTTTGGCAACTCTTTCAAAAGATCTGCCCCCAACCTCTCTCAGCGGACAGGAGTCTCCGCTTCCTCCTGTTCAACAGGCACAATTAGCAGCAGAAAGCATGAAGCTCTCCTGCAGCCGAAGCCCTCGCAGAGCCTCTTCCGCAGCCCAGCCCAGCAAGGGCTCCAATCCGGCGTCTTCTTTTGCTCTAGCACATTTCCCCCCTGTGCTTTGCAGAGCAAAATATTTAACCAAAATAGGATGCTCTGGATTTCTTTCCTACTTTTGTCCTAGACCTTTCATGAGGTGCATCTAACCGTAAATATCACACTTAATGAAGAAATGATAGCGCCCTAGCCCAGTGGTCGGCGAACTGAGGCTCTCGAGCCACATGCGGCTCTTTGGCCCCTTGAGTGTGGCTCTTCCTAAGCCTTAGGAGTACCCTAATTAAGTTAATAACAATGTACCTACCTATATAGTTTAAGTTTGAAAAATTTGGCTCTCAAAGAAATTTCAATCGTTGTACTGTTGATATTCGGCTCTGTTGACTAATGAGTTTGCGGACCACTGCCCTAGCCGGTTTGGCTCAGTGGGATAGAGTGTCGGCCTGTGGACCAAAGGGTCCCAGGTTTGATTCCGGGTCAAGGGCACGTAACTTGGTTGCAGGCTTCCCCCCAGCCAAGGCCCTGGTCAGGGCTTGTGTAGGAGGCAACCAATTGATGTGTTTCTATCACATCAGTGTTTCTCTCTGTCTTTCCCTCTCTCTTCCCCTCTCCCTAAAAATCAATGGAAAAAATATCCTTGGGCAAGGATGAACAACAACAAAAAGAAATGATAGACATTTCTCTTTACTGATGGAAGAAGACATGGTGCCCTCATTACCACTTCTATTTAGAATTTGTATTGGAGGCCCTAGCCAGCGTTATAAGACACGAACAAATAAATGAGAAGTAATGGAAGCTCTGGAGGCTCTGGCCAAATGAAGGAAGCAAATACCCTGCCGGGCACCCCCGTTTCTGCATTTCATTGCCTCCTTCCTTTCTCCCTTGTGAATAGCAGGCACTCTTGCAGAATGTTTAGAAATGTGCCCCCACCAAATTGGACTTGTTTCTTCCCATGAGGCTAATAGTGCCACTACTGAAAAACACACTGACTTGCTGGTATCTCTCTCTTTTTTTTTTTTCTCTGCAGGCTGAATGGCCTTCCCATAGCCTGCATCTGAACACCCAGGCTTGGAGCAGGAAAGATGCTGCCATACTCTCAGACTTGGAGAAATCAGCTACTCTGAGTCCCTTCCTCTCAGGAAAGGTTCAGAAATTTAGAAATTCACAGTCTGAGATAGAGACCTCAAAAATCATTGCTCGTGCACTTCCCTTTTCTGCTATCTATTCTGGGTCTCACAGAGAGTAAACCTTTCAACAACACATTTAAGACATGCTTTCTTTGTCTTCTTTTTCCTCCAGAATATCCTGCCAACCACTTGTGCTGTCCAAAGTTCGGAGGTATCCCATACGACTCCTTCAAGCCCTCCCCAGACCTTCGGAACTCCGGAGCTCCCACTGTGTGAAGAGCGGCTACAGTGTTTGGACAGGTTCAAGCCTCGGACTAATGAGAGGGCACAGTCCTCTCGTGGCCACGTGCAAGTCCCAGCTTGGAGGACAGAGCCCTACCAACACAATTATAGCCAACAGCTGTAGTTGTAAGCTTGAACCTATGGTCCGAACACATGGCCCCACGTGCCTGAGTGATCTGGGCTTGATAGAGTTCAGGTACATGTAATTGAGTAGGCTCGAAACCCACCAGAATGTTGTAAACATCTTGATCACGCCCTTACT